TCTGTGTGGCTCTATGAGCATTTGTTCTAGCATTTACTTTAGCTCCGTTTGACATCTCATCACTGGGGAACCAAATGACATTATATGCTGCTAACATTCAAATGTAACATTTGACATCACATTCGTCTTATACTTCATACAGTATAGACCAGATGTGTTTTGTGATAAACATTTTCTGCTCAAATTTGTAAATCTTATTTACAGTCAGTGCAGATATAGCACAGTTTACAACTAAACTTTCTCTGGAATGAAAGGAAACATTTTGCTGCCAAGCTGTCTGGACGCTGGCACAGAAGGAGAAACAAAAAATGTCTCCAAAATCTTCCACATACACCCCACCGCCCTGTCTGTACAGTTCTATATGAACCAACCAACACTTGACTACACATGTTAATTTATTAACACAGAAAGGACCACGTTGATTAAGCCATTTGCGCCTGTTGTGATACATGTGATAAAGTAAGCGATCGTGTAATCAATCTTCCATGTTTCGCTGCGATACTATTCCATCTTGGCCGTAAGCATTTCCTGTTCTGGAGAAAGGACATATTGTATAAGAGAGAGTGACGACATCTCCACAACATGCACCCCCGTCTGCACGTGAATGAGCAAAATGATGTGTCCTTTGGCCCCTGGCGGGAGGGGAGTGGTTGGGGGTTGGGGGCCTAACATGATGGAAATACTCAGACTGGCTGCACCCATCTGCCTTCTCCCCCCATGGACAGCCACAACGGGAGCCAATGTGACAGTTCTCTCTCTTCGGGGATTAATTGTGTTCACAGTGGCGCGTCTTTTCCTAATTGTACATAGTTGTTTGATTTTAACGCACTGATCCAAACACAAACATTCAGGGTAGTCTTCGTTCTTTTAAGACGCATTCATCTCACTCATATGAGAGATGTCTTTATTAAAAGCCATTGCTCACTGGTGATATTGTTTATGTTTGGCCTGCAGCCTCTCTGTGGCTAAATGGAAACCTCACCAAAGTGGGAAGTGGAAATGGAACGTCTTAGTCTTATAACAGGGCATACTTTATAGACTGAAGTCATGGCACACACAATTTTATAAATGAATCAGGAGTTAAGTGTCCCAGGGGTGTCAAACTCATTTTTATGGTGGGCCACTTTGAAGTTACAGCTTCCTTCAGAGAACCATTTTGACGGTGAAACCAAATAAGTGTTTATTCGTTTCATCATATTATTGTGTACATTTACACAACAACTTGATGGATTGCAAGTTGTAAAATTAGAAGTCTAGTGTAATCGTTAATAATATTGTGATTGTTCAAGGTAGTGTAAAAAGAGACACAAAAAAATCTTGGTACAGATTTCAGCAAGGATCACAGAAGTTGACACATGATTTGCTTTTGTGGGCCATATTAAATGTTTGGGATGGGGTGGATCTGGCTCCCAGGCCTTGAATTTGACACCTATGAGGTAGACCCTATTGGTCCTTTTTCATCATGACAGCACCCTGGTGTGAGAAACCTGCTCGGATTGATTGAGTGAGTATTGTGTGAAAGAACATAAGAGCCCTGATCTCAACCCCGTCAAACACTTTTGAGCTGGACTAGAACAGAGATCAAATGGGGGGAAAAAAGTCCCTCAGACACATAATACAGGAAAAAAATATTCCCACTTTTCCTTCATTTTCGCTCTGGTGGGAGTATCGGACGTATGTCCAAATACTTTTGTAAAGGGTTGAAACAATACATGGAATATTTCGATCACAAAAAAAGTTGAAGCAGAATCTTTGCCTGGAAGCTTCACAGCGATCCTTTTTGCTGACAAACTCATATTACTGCAGAGGCACGGGACGCTACAACGGTGCCATGACTGCCAAGTCAAGCTCACAATGTTCTCTAACTCTATATAGCCTACCCCCGCTAGCTAGAAGTCTTGGAATATGCCAAGGTTGGACCCAACCGCCGGTGCACTTTCAATCGCTTCAACAATGGAAACAAAATTAATACTTAATAAGCACATGCATTGATGAGCTTCTTGGCACGCAGACTATCTTACAGTTATCCAATTAACAGCCATTTTATACTCTCATTCAGTGACACCCACATCACTCACCAGGCCCAGCCCCACCTTTTAAAGCCACACACATACGGTCACAGACATTAGGATTGTGATCTGAAGGGGGACTACAATATTTACGCCTCACATGCATATTTTGTTGATTAATAGTGCAAAATCAATATTTATCTTCTTAATCGATGAGATAATCTGAGAAATAAGGCATTGCAAACAAAAAATCGTTGCTGTATATAGTCCTGTTTTTGTCAATGTAGTCTTATTTCCTAATGGCACAAACTGTTTGTTTGTTGTTTGTGGCTATTGCCATTGTGTTTTAACCAGCCCACCCTTTCTGCTGTAAATTTAAACCTTCACTTGTTCTCCTCGTTAGCATTTTGTCCCTCCATCCCGCCGCGGTCCTTCCTCTGCGCTGTCACTTCATCTCATCACTCGCCTTCTCCACCTTCTTGGTTATTACTTTGCAGCTTTATCTGCCTATCCTCCCCTGTCGTGAAAATACCTCCACTTTGTTAAAATTGCCTGTCTTCTGCTGCACTATCTTCACTGGCCCAATTCAACAAGAATCTAGAGGCATGCTGTATTGCTAGGCTAGAATTATTCAGGTTATGGGGAAGAGAAACGGAAAAGAGGAAAGGAAGGGAGTTGAACTGGACACCAGCCAATGAGCCTGTAAGTACAAGAAGTGACTGAGACAGGAAGCAAAATAAACACTGAGGCTACTGTTATGCGGCACACTTATATTTCTGCACTGTTGGTCAATTCCCTTGTATACTGTATTTCCAGCGATGGGCATTCTGATATAAATTCGGCAAATAATATTGTAAAACTGAGCTGGGATAACATCACATAATCAAAAGCAATAATTCCATATTAATCCAGTGAGTTTGTGCTGAATAATACATCTCCAAGGGGGAAACATATTCACAATTTGCTTTACTTTGCCACATCCAATATGGCTGCGGCTTCTTTGTATATGTCATGTAAATATTGTCGATGATAGTACTTGCTCGCAGTTGTCGCAAAAGGTGCCATTCAAGATGGGATCAGCAGTCCTGCGCAATTGTATGGAGCAAAGTAAATGCTGTCTCGTTTGTAAGGTATTAATTTCCTCCCCCCCTTGCCTCTCTCCCTTGGCGTAATGCACAAATGCTTTTTTTTGGAGTGGGGGGGCGGACTGGGACAAAAGCGTTTTAAAAGGACGAGGACGGACAGGGACAGAGGACAATTATTGTATGAATAAGGAGAGAGGCCACGATGACGGAAGGGTACCCAGGTCGCAGACAGAGGACGAACCGGCAAAATAGGGTAAAGTACCCATCTCTGTTCATTTCTCTACATAGGTAATTGGGATTTTCTGACCACTGTCTGTGACTTCTCGGATGGTGACTGTGGGAGCTGTCGTTATTTCCCAATGTGGAATACTCACCCCTCCACCCACCAAAAAAAAAAAAACAATCCGGTACTTTAAATGAGCGTCAAAGGTGCAAGTAAGTCGTCACGGCTGTGAATGAAGCTTTGCTGAGTCATTGGTGACAGAATGAGTTCTCCCGCAGGCCTACGTGCACACACGCACACGCACACACGCGCACACACACACACACACACACACGCACACACGCGCGCACACACACACACAAAATGCACAGACTGATTTCTGCTAATGTTTCATGCTGAAGTTTCAGCGTGGTCTTGACTCTGCCGCTCGGGGGTTTCTTCCATTCCCATTGTGAGTCACAGATAGAGGCCAGTGTGAACAAGAAAGGTTTACGTAAGCCATGTGCTAAAATAGGAAGACACTGGTTTTGGGAAGAGGGAAGGGTATGTGTTTGGTACTTGGGGATTGTGTAATCCTTCAGGCTTGAGATGCTGTGTTTCTGAGTGACAGTGGGTTCTGAATCAAAAGCATTTCAATGCTTTGAGCAAATTGTCAGTCAAAATACTTGATGAAATATGTCAAAACAACGAACCAGATGACTAATAGTTCATTTACTGCATGACATACCACTCACATAAAGAAACAGCATCGATAATGCAGTATTACAAAAACGTGAATTTTAAAGAGCTCTGAAAATGTGTGCCTGTTTGACAATAAATTGTGAATCTTGCATCATTTTGTTTTGACACTTTTAGGAAAGGCTGTTTTCATGAAGTCAACTGCCTCCTTTTTGTGTATGTTTCTGCTTGTTTCGCCAGGATGTGTATTGTGAAAGCAAACATTTGACACATCCCTGTGTGAATGCTCGTGACGTGCCTGACTGTGCAAAACCCCTGACAGGAGTTTCACTGACCTCACCATAACATGACCTCTCAGTTAGCATAGTAAATCCACAGAATAACCGAAGACTATTAAATGCGAAGGGTGATATAGACATGTTGCTTTTTTTCCCCCATACAAATATTTCCTGTAATTAATGAATTCAATATCGAGTTGGAGTAGTTTCGCTCTAGACTGCGGTGAGTCCCGAATTGCATTTAAACTCGTAAACCAGGGACCAAATATGACTTTGCGGTTAGAGCACAGAATTCATGTTACAACTTTTAAAGTGCAAAGATGTAACTTAAATTAAACTTAATTTAAATGTGTTTACACATTTGTATTCCCTAAATAGAAGAATACATTTATCTTCACACATAGAAATTTATTGAAACATTTTAAAAAATGTATTTTCTTGGCCTTCGACAAGCAGCAAACGATCTGCCTTTCCACAATGTCCTGTCTCTTAAAAATAGCAATATCATCAGTGACTAGTCTTAAGTGACTTGACTTTAATCACATAAATGAGCATTAAAAAAATCTGAAGCTACCCCAACCCGATTAGGTACGGTACTGCTAAGCAATGTTGTACAATTAAGCACAACTGTAACAATCGACAATTCTATATGAATTTCTTGTGGGTTATGACATGTTTTTGCACCAGCAAATATGTTAAATGATTCTCTTTTTTTCTGAATCGACAGAAGCCCAGTGTGACGATGGTGTAACAGCAGGAGACACTGCTAACTACTAAGGCCATGGCTTCCATACCACTCCTTTTAGTAAGCTTCCTCATCTCCTCCCTCCATCCATCCGATGCTCAGGTCATTATTGGCACATCGCCCTCCTTCTCTCCTCTGGATCTTCCTGAAGACTCTCAACCCACCAAGCAGACAGATGGATCCCGGTCTTCTTTGCCTCCCAGCGGACGCACTGCCGTGCCAGCTAAGGTTACAGCGCAGGGTCGGATGACAACAACAAATGCAGAGCAGCAAGAGCCGAGAATACACTCGACTACGTCAACCCTTTCTTCTCAGACGCGGAGCCGTGGAGGAAACATGAGTTGGCCAAGAGTTACCCGGCCCAAGATTGACTCAAGTACACCGCCACTACATGGGACGTTGGAGAAGGAAAAAGAGTTGGCGACATCTGTGCTTACTTTACCCTCCGGTGACAAACCTGTAACAGCTAGCAGTCTACTTAAAGAGACGAATGATTTGCAGGGACTCGGATCAGGTAGTGCAACACTGATCCTTGAAAAGGAGGAATTGCTCGCTCCTGTGCCATCGACTACTGATAAATTGACAGAGGATCAACCACAAGCACGGACTAAAATAGCTGATATGCACAATTCATCAGTGGACACTCGGGCTATGGAGCCTCAAGTGTCGGCACTGACAACACAAACTGTATCACGAGCTATGCCGTCTCCAGGAGCAACACATGCCACTCCTCCTGCCGTTGTATCAACAGGTGAGGAACTTGATTCTGTTTTGCCTTTCACATTACAATTAGCGCTTGCACTTCACAGTTAGTGTATTTTCTTCCAATTCTCAGGTGATTTGACACTTGCCATTGGCAGACAAAATGAGTCTGAGGCTGCAGTGACTTTAAACCGACCCTCCACTGTCACCACAATCGGCTCTACTGGCAAACAACCACAGACTACCAGACAGCCGGTCATCAATCAAAGCAAGAAGATTCCACTTCCAAAAATCATGACAGAGAAAATAGCTGTAACAACTGCAGTTAATATGCCTCTTACTACTGAGTTGGATCAGAAAACACCAAGCAAAGCTACAAATAAACACAACAAAACTGCACATTTGGAGAGAAACAGAACAAGGACAACTGTGCAAGCAACATCAACAGGTACTTGAAGAATGCACATGAAGCAAACCAGCTGGTCTAACTAGTTTGACAATTTTCATACACAGTGATGAACAAATCAGTGTTGTGACAAGCAAGAGAAATACTCCAAACGATATGAAAAAGCATTTGGAGGTTCACCCAGATGGTAGAAAGTATGAGCAGGAGGCAGCAGGGTGGGATGCAAGGGAGGGAAATAACTGGAATCGCTGGCAAGCAAACATACAAGAGGAAAGTGGGCTCAGAAAAAAAAAAAACAGACTGTTGAAACAGAAGCATAGGGTTGGGTGAATGTGTGGCAAAGAAAAAAAAAGCGATAGAAACTCAGAGAATGTAGTTGGTAATGAAAAGCAGATGTATAGAAAACTGAATCCGGGTTTGCGGAAAAGGAAATGGTAAAGCGAACGTGTGAAACATTGTTAGGGGACAACACGGTAATGGTATTGACTCGGCGTAGACATTTTTCAGCATTTTGTATTAGTCCCTTGCCACGTGTGTGCATTCAATACGCTACAACGGTGTATGTGGTATGGGAAAGACTCCAGGCTAGAGGTAAGTTAAGCATACCCAGCTGCGCGTTGTGGAATGTGTCCAGATCACAGCCCAGTAAGGAATTGTTGGAAGGAAGAAAGTCAAACACTTAGCTTAGCGAGCTGTTCAAGTAACAAAAGAGTTTGGAATTGGACAATACCTCATTAGGCTCCGTGTCACGTGCTCCGAGTGGCTAAGTTAAGAAACTCTTACTCTTGGACCTCTTTGTGCCGCCATCCATCAAACTCCCAAAATGGAGAGGCTTACATTGCCATAAATTACCGGTAGCCCTTGACATCGCACATCTGTTGTCTCTTAAGTAGATGTCCACCATGGTGCCACCCCATGGTGTATTCCCGGTGCAGGAGCAAAAAAATGAAGTGGTATGCATTCAAACATGATTACGACAGATTAAGATGTCATATACCATATAATCCTTTAAAATGTCAAAGTGTTCTGAGTTCCACTGAAATGCTCTATGGCGTTATGTAACATGTGTACTTGGCTATTAATTACATAAATCTAATATTATTAAGACTCGTAATTGCTACTTTTTTCCAAATATGACTTGCTCTGCATTATGTCTGGTGTGTTAATGAATATTATCCTCGTGATATTAATGTATCTGAGATTATGCGGCTGATGTTTTGCCATTCTAGTTGAATTACATAAGAAATGACTTGACTGTAATGTCCACTAGTCCCTTCAGTGGCTCATATTTATTCTCTTGACCCTGTGAACTGGTACTGTCAGGCTCACGCAGTAGATATTTACAGTGCTGCGGCTTACATCATGATACTCACAATCATAGTTTAGAGGTTTCATTAGATTACTTAGTTATCTTCCTTTGTCAAAATCATATTTAGACCTTGGGTGATTAGCTGCATTACAAGTTAGCCGCATAATGAGACTGGAATGGACCAGATGCCCCGATAGCTTGTTACCGTGATGTTGAACTACAGCCCAATCGTGGCTTCAGCACCACATCTCAAATGTTTACTCTTTTGGAGTTTTTTTCTTACGATTCCCTTTAAGAATTATAAGTATGAAAATACCTTAATGGGTTGAAAAATATTGAGAGATACAATTTCATAAAAACTTGCATCAAGGAGGCAGTTCAAATACAACTAGGAGGGCTGCTGCTCAGAAATGTCTGACTCTTTCTCCTGAAGCGGGGTCATATGTAGACACATGACCAGGCACTTATCATCTGCCTCATATAAATGGCGCCTCCCCTTCAACCACAGACATCTTGCTTGGTCTTACAACAACCTGATAACACGATATCAAAAAGACAAGAAAAAAAATCTTTTTTCTCATCCTCACATACAAGTGTTACAAATCTAATTCCATTGTCGATATACTGTATGTACAGTATATGAACATATTCCAATTTTGAAATGATATATATCTAACGTTATTCTTTTTCTTACTATTTGCAGCTAACCTGTCATTCCTGACTACCAGTGTTGCACCAGTCAGCCAAACAAGCTTCATTGATCAGAAGAATGGCTCCATCTTGTTAGCGGATCCTTATCAAGCTTCAAAGTCGTCCCCTACTGCTAACGCTAAGCCTTCCCCAAATAGAAGCCTTATCTACTGGGGTGACCTGAGCAGGAATCTGACTTTTGCGTGGGAGCTGCATGTCTACGGGTCAGCAACCCTTTTCCTGCTTTTGTTTGCTGGGTCTGCTCTCGGGATCATCTTGTCCCCGGGTTCAAACTGTCCTCATCGAGGGGCTCTTTCTCTGGCCAACGCCCTGTTGTTTTTGGTCGGAGGACTGAGGGCCTCTCTCTTTCTGATTGATCCCTACGGGACACAGAAAATCCTCCCACGTTCGGCAGTCGCGGCCATTTACAATTTGCCGCTACACTTGCTGGTGTGGACGCATGCTGCCGTGGCCCTGCTGGCCCTGAGGGTGGCCGGAGTGACAGTTTTACCTCCAACGTTGGAGCGTCCTCCCCTGGTGGCCGTGTTGGCTGTCTTGCAGTGCACTCTGTTGCTGGCAGCAGATCTGCTTTCGCCAGCTCTGTCACCCGTGGTACCTGTCACCCTCCAGGTTCTTTCCCTGTGCTGGGGTCTGGGTCTGTGTCTCGGATTCCTCTTCCATGTCTTTCCGCGAATACGTTGCCCTCCCATTCCTCACTCTGGAGTCGCTGAAGAGGCCAGGAGAAAGGCTTGGACAGGTAGCAGGAGAGAAGGGATGGTTCTTGGAAAGGTGCTGGCGGTTTGTGCGGTTGTTGGAGCGCTGTGCTGTGGACTACATGTTCATGCCACCCTTTGGCTCTATGGACTTCTTGGGGACTGGATGAGCTTCAACTGGGGCTGGTGGCTTGTCCATTTCTGGGCCAGACTCCTGGAGCTGACCTGGGGATTATGCCTGCTTCTCTCGACCTCGTGGGTGTTCTGGAGGCCTCAGTGTTGCAGAGGAAGAAATGAGGGAGGAACAGGAGAAGGAAGAATAACAGGAGACGTGCCGTCGCCTGGCCATTCTGGAGGCTCCTCTCATAGACACACATGCTGGTCCAAGATCGTCCAGAGTCTGACCGGGAAACCTTGCAGAAAGTCTGATAGTAACGGTGTTGCAGCAGGAGGTCAAGCAGAGGTGCCCAACAATTGGGCTGGCCAAGAACGTTCTGGAGTTGACATCACCAAGAGTCTCATCAGGAACCATAATCATGATCAAGCCGCTGCCCAACCGCAGTGCGTCAAAGATAGCAACCGAATACGCAACCACAGAGGCCGTTCTGCAGAACGCGGCATATCTGATAGCTCCGCGAGCTCCCTGCTGAGACTGCAGGCGCTCGGACTGACACCACAGCGCTCAGTCAGTGGAAGTCTGGAGCCGGATAGGGACACCTCTCTCTCTACGTGCGAGTTTGATCTTCGGCCCCCGTCTCCCATTAACCTCACCCGCAGCATTGATGAGGCCCTGCACCGAGAACACCTACTCGAAGGGGGTAGTTTATTTCATCCCTTTAACCAAACGTCGCAATCTCCCTCCCCCGGATCTGGAGTCAGTCCGGGGCTCTGGCTGCGCAGAAACAGTGACCCTCAGTTTTCGGAAAGCAGTGAGGTTCCGACGGAGTCCTCCATGCCTCTGGGGGGCAGCGTTCTCAGCAGTGTCCCAAGCCGGCAGGTGACTGCCCCACCCACACCGTCCCACCAGGGTCACAGGTGGCCCGGTAATGAAGCAGGAAATGTCCCCTCGTCGGTGTCATGCCCTGTGTCATTTCACCCCACCAGGACATCAACGGGATATCTGGGGGAAGATAGAGTGGATGACACACGACCCTTCATCACACCGGACTCTGAGCGAGGGCGGGGGATGGCTACAAAGCCCGTCGGTTCAGGCAGTTACCTGGAAGTCAGCCGACATGACGACTCTGCCAGTGTGAGCAGTGAAATTATTGATTTATGAAACAAATCTTAGGCTTGAGGACCAGGGGCTTACATAGATCAAACGCACCATTAAAGATCCAACAGATACAGACACAAAAAATATGTCTTAAATTGAACTATAAAGAATCCATCCAAGCCTTCAGTTTCTGTAGTGCTTATTCACACTAGGCTATCGGGTTAGTTAGACCCTATCCAAGCATACTTGTTGCCAGCCAATCGCAGAGCGCATATCAACAAACAAGCATTCACACAACTATGGACAATTTAGAATCGTCAAAGAATCACACATGTATGTTTTTAGGATGTGGGAGAAAATCCACACAAATGCCAATATCACTAATACCTGCCAGCACGGCGGCGTAAAAAAAAAAATCAATCACATGATATCCGCAAGAGTATAGGAAGGCAGGAACCGAGATTTGAACCCCAAACCTCAGAACTATGAAACAAATTTGCTTACCAGTAGACCACCATGCGATCAAACAATAAAAGCTAAAAGGCGGTCACATTTTTCTTCTTGTTAAAAAAAAAAGTGGAAAATTTTTACTTGGTCTATGAACTTGTGAAGAAGCAACACAATCCAAAAAATGCATATAGGGTGTCTCAAGACATTTGACATCATTTAAAAAGCAATTATCTTGAAAACTACAAAGTTGAACAGTTTAGGTGTCAATCAGCATAACGTTATTCTGAGAGTGATTTCAAGTGTTCACTCTGTGCAGCGGATGGGACACGGCACGGTAGTTAAATTCTTGTTCAATTCACGCTGCAACATGTCTTGGGCCGATGGCATTATGCAATGCCAGAGTTCATCAGTATTTGCAGGAAGAGGGGAGACGTAGACCTGTTTAAATAAATCATTCTTATAAAATCGTGTTCTGTTTCTCTACAATCTGAAGAAAACTGAGGTCATTTCAACATGTTTGGCCAAAATTATTGACCTGCGAATTGATGTGGAAATTTTTCTGACTCCCTGTTTATCATGGAACATACATATACATACATTCCGGTTCTCGGGATGGTTGCTGAGTAGGTGGCTGCTGCTTTCAGTATCCGAGTAAAATCTAACTAGATCATCAAATGGTGGCCTGGTAACATCACTAAACATCAGAATTGTTGCTGGTGAAAGACAAAGTGTGTTTTTGTTTCGGTGTGTACATCAACAACAGTGACTTATTTTATTTGTTCATGTGGTTCTGAGAATTTTCATTTCAATTTTCCTCCGTCATGTAAAAATGTGCCATACATGATTTGACTTTGTTCTGTGCTTGTAATGGTTGCGTCTACCTGCAGCCTATTATCTTGAATATGGTGACTCATCAACTATTTATAAGCTCTTAATATGCTGCCGCTTGGCCCAGGTACTTTGGAACTGATGACACATTGTAGTAGTAAACTACAACCGCAGTCACTCAGTACATACTTATATGTGCTTAACTGTAGTTGATTGTCAATATTGGTTCACGTCAATTGCATTATACATAAATTAAATAGAGATATTGAACTTCAACCTGCCACAGGTTTCCAGGACTGCGCCAAGAAACAACGTCCGGCTTGGCATGAACTCACGAACACAGCACTTCACTGTTCAGCAAAGCACGAGACTGAAGTATTTTATTACTCTCGATAGAAGTATCTTTCAAATATATTATATAGAAGCAACAATGTAAATACTTTTTTGTTTTTATGTTCCAGATATTTTTGAAACAGTCACATTTGTCACTGTGAAAGACAATCGAAAATGCTTTTTGCTGACTGTGCCGTCTTGTTGTTTTGATATCAGCGGCGCTGAGGATTGAAATATCGATGCGAGTATTGCAAAAATATTTAGATTCTCTTTGAAAATAATACTAGAAAACAAATATTTTTTTAAAGTAAAAATACTCCAAGTGTACAGGGTGGATTTTGACGGAGCATGTGCAATTGCTGGTTTGCAGCACAAGACATCCATAAATCATGATGCATTTACTTTATTAGACTGCAGGCAGGATTTCCAGAAGTGGCCAAGGCCTTTATTCATGTCTCAGAGCATGACAGGATGACGTCCAGTTTTCAGAGTGATGCTTAAGTTGTTTAGTGATTTTTGTCCAATGACCTCGTGTTGTGCTCTACATTCCAGTGAATTCCAGACCAGAGTGAAAGTAACAAGTGTGTTCAGTGTTGCTCCCTCTGCAAAGCATACTACGTGCCATAGAAAATGAGTACATGTGCCCGCCCCACTGTCTCAATGCAGAGATTCAGTATTACAGCTGTTTATTTTAGGATTATATTTAACATTTGTTATTTCATTTCACCGAATTTCATGTCTGGATGCAAATAAAAAAACAAAGTGATCATAATTCATGTTTATTGTGTTTGATGGCCCCTGTGTGGAGCTACATGAATCATAAAGTTGGTTCAGTTTAACAGTGAATTTATTTCCAGAACCCAAATGAATCAATGCCAAAAGGACGACAATGATAACAAGAGATGTAATCTAGAAGGGCTTGCTAGGGCAGTTTGACTCAACGTCATCCGCCTTGTAAGAAGAAACAGTTTGTTTGATCTGTTCAAGCCTTAAACTTCAGTGCGAAACTCCAGTCCAGGGAAACAAATGTGCCGCTTGTAGTGCTCATCACACCGCTCATTCTGGGCCACGGTGAAATGGTTCTTCCAGTCTCCAACTTTCCCTTCAAAAGGCAGAGAGATCAATTCAGATGGCATTCCAACTAATCAGCTCACAAGCTGGCAAAGCACTCACGGCCATCTTGCTGCGTACCTTTTCTCATGAAAGGAGACACCTTCAGATTCATTAAAGGGGCATTGGTAAAGTTGGTCAATTTGTTGTCTTTCATATTGTCAAATTTCACTGCAGCCATGATGCTTTCCTTCTCCTCGGCAGAGGGAGACATGCCAAGGAAGCTGCACAGCTTGTCGATCTCATGTCCCAAGTTCTGCGCACGCGAAAGACTTGCTGAATCAATATCAAAACATTTTCCGTTCAATTCACAACATGCACTGCACATTCAGAAATTATGCAAAGCATAAGTACTTTTAGATTTGGCTTGGCATCGCAATGGTTTGGTAGAGTGTTAGAAAGGGAAATTAGGACTCTATAATTAGCCTTTTTTTGATGCATTAGTGTAGCTGTTGCCTAGAAGAAGCTGAGGAAGTTTACAATACGCCCTGAGGAATCTTGCTGTGCGTTCTTTGTTGATACTGAAAGAAGTCACACAGTGTTGAATTTAATGCTCTCAAATGACGTGAGTGCTGTCAAAAACAAGGTGTGACTTAAAAATCAAGTTTGTATTTTTTTCAAATGTTCCCAAAAATGAGAAAACAGGTTTTAAAACATTTTATAGCCGTGCTATTTGCACGCTTAGTTTCCATAAAGCAAAATGTATTGACCTTATGACATATAATGCTGTAATCCTCATACAAATATGTTGAATGGAAGTACTATAAGACATAGTTTCCCTGGACGTTTTTTTTTCTCTCAAATATTTCCTCTTAAAATTGTCATTTGTTTTTACTTTTTGCATTAGGGTTGGCCAAGGTTTCTTTTTGAGCCTGAGCCATAACTGCTTCTTTCTTCTTATCGGCTATATTTGCATGGGTTTGCCTTCTTCATTAATTTTCTGGATAATATTTCTGCAAAAAAATGTTTTACACTGGTTAATCCATTAATGCACTCTATATTTTTCACGGAGCAGTTTTGCTAATCAGTGACGTCATTTGAGGAGCAAATTTTCGCAGGTTAATCTCATCAAGGGTTTTCATCCATCCATCGCTTATCCTTTTCTGACTGAGTTGGTGGAGTTGAGGAGGTCTTCAAAGTATTTTGCCCACTGACTCACAATGTCTCAAGTCAAGGTCGGCAGCGGACCATCCCCACTGTGCACAGTGTTAATGGTGCACTGCTTCGCCCTCCGGGAACGTCGGAAGATGGACCAGAATTTACTCGAAGCGGCTCTCATGGCCTCTTCCCACGCCCGAGTTTTTGCCTCGGCAACCGCGAAGCTGCGTTCCGCTTGGCCAGCCGGTACTCATTAGCTGCCTCTGGAGTCCGACAGACCATAAAAGCCCGGTAGACTCCTTCTTCAGCTTGACGGCATCCCTGACTGACGATGTCCAACAGCCAGTTCGGGGGTTGCCGCCACGACAGGCACCGACCACCTTACGGCCACAACTTCGATCGGCCGCCTTAACAATAGAGGTGCGAAACATGGTCCACTCAGACTCAATGTCCCCCGCCTCCCTCGGGATGAGAAGTGCGAAAAGCTCTGCCGGAGGTGGGAGTTGAAATTCCTTCTGACGGGGGATTCTGTCAGACACTCCCAACGGATCCTCACAATCCATTTGGGTCTGCCAGGTCGGACCGGCATCTTCCCCCACCATCGGAGCCAACTCACCACAAGGTGTTGATCGGTTGACAGCTCCGCACCCTTTCTTTACCCGAGTGTCCAAAACATTCTTTGCCTCCACCCCAAAAGTACATCTCCTTTTTGGATAGGGAAAGACACTGGTTTGGTTGCTTGATTATTCACAATTTTGAAGCCTGTACCTGCCGATTTTTAAAATTCATAATTATCAAGACGTGTTTTGTTTTCACTTTACAGGGACTTTAAATACTGTGTTAAACTCAGACATTGCGTGCGTTTGCAAGGAAAGAACCTGCTAACATTTCACCTCAGTCAGATCTTCATAGAAAATGTAATGCAGATTTGGATACGTTTGCTTCTTCTCCCACCAGCCGACCACATGCTTATGCCAAGCTCCATAAGCCACTGACGCCACAGAAGAACACATTCATGAAGGAGTGAAGGATGGAAGAACCTGTTTGACAAAAACTCAACACTGTTGACACTTTGAGCTCACTTTTCCCATCCATGAATCTTTGCAAAAAGCCATCCCAGTCTCCTGGTGCAGGGTGGATGCTGTTCATGCTGCTAAAATGGAAATGAGACACTGCAACGTCCTTCGGGTTACGAGCCACATAGACTACCTGAATGAAAAGATATCCACAATTGAGTCAACGTATCCCTGCTTTCGATTCTTCACCTGCCAGAACTTTATGCAGACATGGCGGACATTTAACCTTGCAGTTGTGTTCCCAAAACGTATCTGGCACAAGCTGGACTGGCAGATGAGTTTTGATAAGACGAGGAGTGATAGTGAGCTGGTCTGCCAGGTCTTTTCCTTAATGAAGAATTGGACAAATGAGTGAGTGTCATTCACAGCTAAAAGCACCCGGAAGTGCGTGTGAGGTCATGATGAAAGGTCGATTGTATCTAATCTATCCGTGACAAATATAACTGGCTTTTTTTTTTCAACCTTTGGGATGACCAGGGATGCAGAGCTCCAGAAATGGTACTCTCATATACAGAGGGAGGGATGTGTCTTTCTCTGGATGTGTCTTTCCAAAGAAGAGCCGATCCAGGAGGTAGCAGACCCATGTGGTTCCTGAGGTATTAACACAAATACACCATAAGAGCTCTTGCAAAGCAAGACAATTTGTTTGGTTGATCAATGAATTTATGAGAATTGCGTATTCATACTCATAACCTCACCTGATTTGGGATAAGTGGCTATGACAATATCATCCGGTTTGGCTTGGAAGTTCTTTACATTTTGCCAGTTGTCAGTGAAGAATTTTGTCATGGAGACTCCATAAAAGTCAAACAGTTCTGGTCGAGGTGGCGCGGCCATCAGTTTCTGTTTAAATGCGAAATGAAGACTTTTCCTACCTTAATTCTTGTGAGGACAGACAAGAACAGGAATTCCCAACCACTGTGTGGTAAGAAATCATCAGATGAATTGGTCAAATTCAATTTTCCATTTCCATTTCATTTTCATAAAAATTAATATTTAGTCATGATAAATAATGTCTCTTTTTTATTTGTTTTTTGGGTTTTTTTTGTTTATTGTTAAAGTAATAAATTGACAGAAAGTAAAGGTAAGTAAAATGCTCAAAAAGGAAAACAGTCATCATACAACACAATTATATGTTCAAAGGAGTCGGAAGACGTAAAAAACTTGTCTTGTCCTACCCCTTGTTATGTATTAATATATAAATAGATCATTTTTATATCAATCAGAAAAGGAAAAAGTCTGCATATAAACAAATTATTTTACCCTTACATGTGCTATACTTATCTATTTTTACAACTTTTGATTTGTATAGGAACTACATTCATACACACTCGAGCACATTTATATGTCGATTTTCTCTTGTATTCATAATGGATATTGCATTACATTACTACATTTAACAAATGTATCAACTTAATTCAGATTTCTTACTATATTTAATAAATGTATCAAATTTATCAACTTTTTATCCAACTTTTCCTATTTATTCAACAGAAGAATATATTTGTGTTAAAATAAACCGTCTCAGATTTCGCTCAGTAAAAACATGTGTAAATAAATTGATCTGAGATTATCAGTATTTCAATATGCAGTATATTCTTTTTGCAAAATGTTTTAATGGTGTTCCGTCACATTTTGCTCAAATACTATGTTGGAAAGATTGAGGAGCAGTCTGGGAGGGTGCCAAAATGTCTACAGCGTAGGAGGAATTTCGGGCTGTACGGTTCTTGATTTTTTATTTTATTTTTTCACTACACGATACACTTGATAAATATGTAGAAATAATGTGAGCAAGACCAACTTTTAGGATTCATGTCGCCACACCTGTTATTGTTAAGGTAATCCCTACCACCTTTCTTTTTATATGTAATTATTCATGTTCTAAAAAGGCTTTAAAATGATCACAGAAACTTGCCATTCATTACCATTGTATCATTAGATGCAATTTTTGGGGTAAAATATATTACCTATATAGTACACACCAAAAAACTCCCCAAACATATTTTTAGATGTAATTATTCATGTTCTAAAAAGGCTTTAAAATGATCACAGAAACTTGCCATTCATTACCATTATATCATTAGATGCAATTTTTGGATTATATTACCTATACAGTACACACCTAAAAACTCCCCAAACTTACTCGGGACCATCAAGTCATATAAGAACTTGAAATAGCAGTGAAAACAAAACTAAAACTCACGTGTAATATAGAAACAAAATACAAAACAAATGTAATATTTCCTTTTCCGCAATTCAAAAGTCACAGAAAAGAAGAGTACACAAAGCC